GCTTTGGATTCCTTCTACCATGTTCTTCAATTCAGAAATGGTATTCTTCATATCCCCTTGTGTCTTCTTGATAGTTTCTATGTCCTTTTCCAGGTTGATATAGTTTGCTGTAAGATCCTGATAGTTTCTCTTCAGTTTCTCATAGTTCTCTTTGAGCTGGCTGAGCTCATTGAGCTTACTTAGAACCATTGTTTTGAATTCAATATCTGATAGTTCCCTTGCCTCTATTTCATTTAGCTCTCTCTGTGGGAAGTCCCCTTTTCCACTCATTTGGAGGAAACTTCTTTTTCTTCCCATTTTTGTGAGAGTCTGTTAAGTAATTTACTTGTTTATTCATTTGTTTTTGCTTCTGCTCAATTGGGCCATCTAGATTTCCTGACTTTGTGGATTAAATTTCTATGGTACTAGGCAGGTCTTTTTATTTATTTATTTTTATTTCCCCGCCCTTTACTTTTCTTTCTGGGCCTGCCTCTGATGATGTCAGTTGTTGACCCTTATGGCCTTGGCTCATTTGTTTGAGCCTTCCAGGAGTCTACTGTCTGTGTCTGACTCCTGTTTTGGGCAGCTGTGTGACCCCTTTGTCCAGGTATCCACTATTTCTGTGGGTCACTCTGCACTTTCCTTCCGGCTCCTTGATTGCCCTCCCCGACCTGGTAGGATCCCCGGCCAGCCTTGGCTCACGCGTGCTTGCCCCAGCCCAGGGGGCTTCTTCGCAACCTTGCATACTTGTCTGTCCCCCCAGGCCAGCGGGCACCCTGGCACTGGTCTGTTTAGGTTCTTCTATTGTGTGCTTTCCCCACTTTTGGCTCTTTGGATGCATTACTTGCCCTCGCCAAATGGAGACTACGGAAATGGGAGGAAGTCAGCTCCAGGACTCTCCGGTTAATCCTGTCTCCAATCTCTCCTCCAGGGACTCTGGGCAGCTCTGTGATCCCTTCGGCCTGGGATCCACTATTTCTGCAGCCTGCTCTGCACTGGCGGCCCGCGCTGATCAATTTACACCTGCCCTCACCGATCTGTGCACTCCCTCACAGGCCCCATCTGTGTCAACCTGTGGGAGGCCTTGCCAGCCCATACGAGCCCTCGCCAGCCAGCGCGGGTCCACACACACCCTCGCCAACCCTAGCCGGCCACTCGGCGCAAGTGTGCGTGCCTGCACTGGGTGGTTTGGGGCTCTCTATTGTGTGCTTTTCGGCTTTTGGCTCTTTGGGGGTGTGACCTTTCCTGCACAATGGAGACTAGGGAAAGGAGAAGGAGTCAGGACTTCCCGGTTCCTCCTCCCATTCTTTCCCCAACGCCTCCGTCTCTAGTCTCTCCTCAGGGCTCTCCCAGCCAGTCTGCATTTAGCCCCCCAGCTCACACAGGCACAAGCTGTGTGCGCAGCTTGTTTATTAAACACTTATTATATGCCGAAAACAAACAAACAAACAAAGGAACCTTAAAGGAATGTGTTAGGTGAGGGGTAAACAGTTTCTGTGTAGTCCTTCGGCTACAGGGTATGCCCAGGCTCCTTACAAAAAGGTCTTTAATATCCTGAATAGAGAACCTTCAAAAGAAGGGATGAAGATGTGTCCATTCACTCAACAACTACACATTGAATACCTACTATATGGCAAGTATTGTTTACAGGTGTTCATAATAATGGACAAGACAAACAAAAATTTCTTGCTTTCATGAAGCTTCTTCTCTAGTGAAAGGAAAAAAATAATTTTTAAAAATCAAATACACAAATTACAAAGTATGATAGAGAGTAAGTATTGTTGATAAAAACAAAATCAAAGGCAGCTGAGTGTATAGGGGTAAGATTTGGTGATGAGGAAAGAGGGGCCACGAAAGGTCTCTCTGAGAGGGAATGTTTGTGTTAAAGACCTATGGAGACAAAAGAGTAAGACACATGGACACCTGGGAGAAGCACATTCCAGGTAGAGAATTGCCAAGTGTACCATCACTGGCCATCTCAAAGAATAGCCAAGCCAGCGTAGTTTGAGCAAAGTGAACCCAGGGAACACTTATAGGAAATTAGGAGGAAGAGAGAAAAATGACCAGGACATTTTGGTCCATATATGTCACTGTCATTATTTTGTTTTGCCTTGGTTTTTGTTGTTTTAACATCTTTACATACAGATAGAAAATCCTAAGTGTCAGCTCAATCAATTACCATAACGTGAATAAATATGTGTATACAGACACCAGTCAAGAAATATAACATTACCAGCACTCCAGAACTCCCCCTTTATGCCCCTCCCTCCTCCTCAAAATTAACCATTATCTTGACTTCTAACAACATAGATTTGTTTTTCCTATTTTTTAACTAAATAAATGGAATCATACCATTATATTCTATTTGTATCTGGTGGGGTTTTTTTTTTTGCTCAAGATTTTGTTTGTGATGTTTACCCATGTGGTTTCAAGACAAATAAGAGCATGTTAAAGTGCTGATGGAAAAGATATAGTAGGGAGGTGGGAACAATAACAGTGTTCATGTGCCTGACATTCATACAACAATTTAGGAAAGAAAAAGGAAGCATGAGTTCACCCAGGAGCTGAGTGTCAGGATTCCAAGAACATTTCCTCCCCTACTCAGATATTCTCCTGAGAATTAAGAGATTTCAAGAAGGTTGGGGTCATTGTTATAGTTATTTATTGATTGATTCACTCAAATAAATACTACTTTGAATCAGGCACAGTGCTGAAATACAAAGATAATTAAAGTATGATCAATTAGACACACAGGTATAGAGAGATCTACAAAAGGGTGTAATAAGTGCTAAGTATTTGACAAAGGATGTTAAGGAAGCATCTTCTTTAAGAATCAATGTGACTATTTTATCTTTTTTGCTCAAACATTATTTGGCTATGAGATAGGTTCATAAGAATAGAACTCTCTACTGGGCTTCAGTAGAGAGCTCTAACAGACAGGCAGAGTTATGGAGAAAGAGTGCAAGGGGATGGTGGGACAGGGGAAGTTATAGCAATTTCTCTTCTGTGTTTACAGGAACCACAGGTACAGGAACCACAGTTACCCAAACCACAGCAACCCCATTGTTGGTGGTGAATGGGGTGCTGGGATAGGCTCATAAGAATAAGAATATATGCTTTTGAGATATTTATTAATTTTATGTATATCTCTTCTTCTAGACTATAATCTCTTTTTTCATTTTTTTATTGTTGTTTAGTTGCAATTGTCCTGCTTTTTACCCCATTTCTCTCCCCTACCCATCCCCTTCCAACTTCCACAGTCAATCCCCCCACATTGCCCATGCCCATGAGTCTTCTATTCATGTTCCTTTGTTTGTCCCTTCCCCTTCTTTCCCCCATTATCTCCCTCCTCCCTCCCCTCTGATCACTGTCAGTTTGTTCTTTATTTCCAAGTCTGTGGTTCTATCCTGCTCATTTATTTGTTTTGTTGATTAGGTTCCACTTACAGGTGAGATCATATGATATTCATCTTTTACCACCTAGCTTTTTTTCATTTAGCATAATGCTCTCCAGTTCTAACCATGCTGTTGCAAAGGGTAGGAGTTCCTTCTTTCTTTCTGCTGTGTAGTATTACATTGTGTAAATGTACCATATTTTTTGATCCACTCATTTGATCACCAGTAGGTGGGCACTTACATTGTTTCCAGTTACAATTGACTATTGTAAACTGTGCTTCTATGAACATTAGGGTGCGTAGGTTCTTTTGGATTGGTGTTTCATGATTCTGAGAGTATAATCCCAGCAGTGGAATTATTGGGTCAAAAGTCAGTTCCATCTTTAGTGTTTTCAGGAAATTCCAAACTGTTTTCCACAGTGGCTGCACCAGTCTGCATTCCCACCAACAGTGTACTAGGGTTCCTTTTTCTCCACAGCCTCACCAGCACTTGTTTGTTGATTTGTTTATGTTGGCCATTCTGACTGGTGTGAAGTAATATCTCATTGTGCTTTTAATTTGCATCTTTCTAATGGCTAGTGATGTTGAGCATTTTTTCATGTGTCTATGGGCCATCTGTATGTCCTCCTTTGAGAAGTGTCTGTTCAGGTCCTTTGCCCATTTTTTAATTGGATTGTTTGTCATCCTGGTGTGGAGTCACATGAGTTCTTTATATATTTTGGGGACCAAACCCTTGTCCAAGGTATCATTGGCAAATATGTTTTCCCATATGGTTGGTTCCCTTTCCATTTTGTTGTTTTCTTTAGCCATGCAGAAACTTTTTAGTTTGATGTAGTCCCATCTGTTTATGCTTTCCTATATAGCCCTTGCCTTGGGGGATGTATTGAAAATGTTGCTGCTAGGCTATAATCTTTTTGAGAAGAGAATAAATATCTTCTGGTATCATGAAAAGGACACAAAGTAGTTGGAGTCAAAGTAGCTGAGTTTGAAGCCTGACTCACGCTTTAGCTATGTAACTCTGGAAAAATTACCAGTTAACTGCTCTGCTTTGGGTCCTTTCTCTATAAATGGAGATAAATCCATCCTTATGCCCCTCACAGAAATTGGTATAAGCATTAAATGAAGTAATGTGTAAAAAGAGCTACAAATTCTGATTATTAGTCCTCTAAATCTGACAACTCCACTATGTTGGACATACAATATGTAATTAGTAAATGTTGAGCTTTAATTATTATATATTATCAGCAAATGCTTGTGGATTTGGAGTCTGTGGCAGGAAGTTGATATAGTTCCCAGTCCCACTCCACTTCATGCCCACAGAAGGAACTCAGAGGCTGGGGTCAGATAGTGTGTGTGACCCAGAGTAACCAGTCAGTGTGGGAGGGTGAACTGGGCCAGTATCAAGTAGACCAACTGCCCATTAACCAAGACACTTCGTTGGGGTGGTATCTTTCTGATAGTCCATTTTGACAGTTTTCCTAATGTTTTCCCTCTTCTTCATATCTCTGGGCTTCAGTAGAGAGCTCTAACAGACAGGCAGAGTTATGGAGAAAGAGTGCAAGGGGATGGTGGGACAGGGGAAGTTATAGCAATTTCTCTTCTGTGTTTACAGGAACCACAGTTACAGGAACCACAGTTACCCAAACCACAGCAACCCCATTGTTGGTGGTGAATGGGGTGCTGGGAGAGTCAGTATCTTTCCACCTGATGTTTCCTATAAGAAAGGAGATCAATTCCATCACTTGGCTTCATGATAAAACAGTTATTGTCTTCATACATCCAAAGGAAAGACAAATCCAGGTGATTGATCCAACACGGAAAGATCGGCTGCATGTTGCCCAGTTCTACTCCTTGCAGATCAACAACCTGACTATGGCAGACAGCGGACATTATAACGCCCAGATAAGCACAACAAACTCCATAGAGTTTTCCATTTACGATCTGAAGATCTTCAGTGAGTCAAAGCTTTGGGTTTAATTGTGTATAGACTAAAAAATATTACATATTTCAATTCTATGTGACAGCAAACACGCACTGTAGCCTAGTGGTAAAGAATATGACATTTGGAACCAGACTGAGGTCCAGTGGTAAAGCTACTCAGTGGCACCACACAGCCAGTGATAGAGCTGAGAATAGAACCTAAGTCTTGTAAATCCCAGTCAAGAATTACCTCACTCCTCATAAAATGGTCTCTTTCAACTAGAAATGTAGTGGAAGTAATGAAATATTTATGATTTTGTTACCATGTGCATTACATGTATCTGTCAAGTTATCTTTACAAAAGCTCCATGAGGTAAGTACTATTCTTACCCCTGAGGCACAGTGTCAACTACAGCAACCTCCTACAGTCACAGAGATAGTAAGTGGGAGAGCTTCCCATGTAACTAGCTGGTGTGATGCCTCTCTTAACACAAAGGCTCATCTGACCCAGTGGTCAATGTACAGAACAGTGGTCAATGTACAGAACAGTGGTCAACATAGAAAATGTTCTATAAGGATGACCTGGAATAGATAATGCCTTTTCTATCAAGGTTGTTTAATTAACAAAATAATATTTTCCCCAGACAACTCCTGTCCTCAACATAAAATTATGGAAACTATAATGACACAGTTTATGAGTCAATGTCAGAAAAACCTTCTAGCAATCAGCGATGCCATGAACAGCAGGAATGTTGTACAGGAGGTTCAGCCGTGAAATTGACAACTTTAAATCCACTGAGATTATGTAATTCTTATCAACTAGAGAATTCACAATGTCTAAAATTCATTGAGTCATTTAGGTTAAGACATGCTATCTGAAAAAAATACTATTCAAATAAAATGTCACCAAAAATAGGTAATATGTTAACCTTTAGTATCCTCTGAATATCTAGTAGGTGTATCATTCTAGATTAGTCAGTCATGTTCCTGAAAGAATAGGACACATAACAAGTAAATGTCATGGAAAAGATGATGATGTCTGGGAAAGTTCAGAACAGGGATTCCAATTTAAGGGACAAAATTACTCTGGGGCAGTGTATTTGTTTCCTGAGGCTGCTAAAACAAAATACCACAAAGTTGGTAGCTTAAAACAACAAAAGTTTTATTTTCTCACAGATCTGAGAGCTGAAAGTCCAAAATTAAGGCATGGAAATGGCTATAATTCCCCTGGATACCAGAGAGGACAGGAGATCTGTTCTTTGCCTCTTCCGACTTCTGGTTGCTATTGGCATTTCTTGGTTTTCCTTGGCCTATGGCTATAACACTCCAATCTCTCCCTCCATGGTCACGTTACCTCTTCATCTTTCCTGTGCTTCCTCCTCTTCTGTCTATCTCAAATATCTCTCTGCTTTTCTCTTATTTGGACACTTATTGGTTATAGGGCCCACCCAGATAATCCAGAATCATCTTATCTAATTTAATTACATCTGCAAAGGTCTTTTTTGCCAAACAAGAATCTGGGAATTAGAATATCTTTGGGAGGTGTCATCATTCAACCCACTATAGGCAGAATCATTCTGGATAATCAGTGATCATCAAGGAAATGCTAGGACCCTGGAGAGGAGACACATCCAGCGGCAAGTCTGAGAACAGACTCCATATCAAGTTCCATTGCACTTGTTGAGACAGTTTTCTTCTGCTGCCATTCAGAAGACCAGGCATGATTTCTGCAACAACCACACTCCTGAGGCTCAATGTCCATCCCTTCTCAGAGTCATTTAAGGTACCTCTCCTTCAAAGGCACATACATAAAGAGATGTGTAAGACTACACCAACATGTTTTATAATAGTGCAAAAAAATTCCAGTGTATGAACTCCTGAGGTTTTTAAAAAAATATTGACCTATTACTCCATGTACCAGGGTAGAAATGGCAAAGATTTTATCTTATGGGCCAAGATCAATTAATTGGGAGTAACTGCCTAGAGTTCATTGTCAAGAAAGGTCGAAGCCATGTTACATGTATTCGTAAGTTGACTACAGATGATGTACAAGAAAATGTTTTAGGCACTTGAAATGCATCAGTGAGCAAAACAAAGATCCCTGCCTTCATGGAGCTGACATTCTAGGTGAGGAATAGGAGGTAATAATAAACAATCATATAGTAAAGGTGTCCTACCTTTTGGTGTCTCTGGGCCACACCGGAAGAAGAATTGTCTTGGGCCACACATTAAATACACAAACATAATGAAAACTGATGAGCAAAAAAGTTTTAAGTAAATTTACACTTTTCTGTTGGGCCACATTCATAGTCATCGTGGCTACATGCAGCCCATGGGCTGCAGGCTGGACAACCTTAAATGACATAATATGTAAGGAAGCCATGAGCGCTGTGGAGTAAAGATATTAGAACAGCATAAGAAGCCATCAGGAGTGCCAGCAAGGAGCAGAGATCAATTGTAATTAGAGTGGTCATAACAAGCTTCATTGGGAAGATGACATTTAAGCCAAGACCTATTGGAGGTGAGGGGGTAAGCCATAAAGATATATGGATGAAGAACACCAAGTACACACACTCTCCTGGGATGGCATGCTCTAGGAACATCAAGAAGCACAGTGGTGAGAGAGAATTAGGAAATGAGGTTCAGTAAGAAAATAAGGGGCCACATCATGCAGCGCTCTGAATCTCAGTGAGGTATAAGAACAATAGAAGGGTTTTACAGAGAAGAAATATGGTCTGACTTACTTTCTTAAAAGATCCCTTAGCCGCTCTGTTGTGAATAGTTGGTAAGGGACAAAAGTGGAACCACTGGACCAATCAGGAGGCCATTGCAACAATTCAAACGAGAGATGATGCTGGCTGGACCAGGATGGGAGCAGGGGGCATAGTGAGAAGGGCTTGGATTCTGGGTATTCTTGGCTATTGGCCTATGTGACTGGAAGGATGAACTTGTTATCGACCAAGGTGGGGAAGGCTGCAGATGAACCAGGTGTTGGAGAGTAAAACAGGAGTTCATTTGAACATGTTGAGTTTGAAATACACATTATATTCAAGTAGAAATGTCAGGTAGGCAGTAATATATTCATCAAGTGGAAAAAGGTAGTAAGATAGCTTTTTGAGGTCAGCCATGAACATAGGCTGCAGGAGATGTGACATTCACACCAAATATTTGCCATTGCTGGGTTAGGTACTGTCTCACTTAATCATAATTACCTAAGAAGTAGCTATTATTGCCCAGTTTTACAGAGGCTTGGCGCAATTGACAATGTATTCATTGTCATGTAGCCAATAAATAACAAAGTAATGATTCTAACCTAGATCATCCTAACTCCAAATTCAACACTCTTGCTGTTACGTAAAAGCTCCATTCTGGCAAAAACAGGTTACACTAGTCCTACTCAGTTAACTAAACTTAAAGCAGTACTCTGTCTCTTCTAATCAGACAGTTAGAGTCTTTCTGTTTTTTACTGGGTCAACTTTATTTCAACCCTCAGGACTAACCTACGTCACTGACCTTTTCTGTACTGTTCCCATGTCCCCATTTATCCATAGCTACTGACATCCCACTAGCCAATATTTTCTGGTCTCTGCTGTCAAAAATTTCTGCAGTAAATGTTTTATCAAATATCTGAATATATTGTACTTCTTCTCTTCTTTCTTACCCCAGTACTTTTGGTTCTCAACATGTTCCTTTCTGTCTTGCTAACACTCTGCATCAGGGTCTCTTTGTTACCACTTGAGCTGGCATCAGATACAATGAGGGCAAGGATTCCTGTAAAATTATGAGAAATATAATTTCCCAAGGAAGTTAAGCTTCCATTTTCTACCCCAGCTAGGGAATTCTGATTATGAAGGAAACAGGGCTCTTATGCCTGGTTTTGGTTTCTAATCTGGCTAAGGTAAGACTGACCCTCAGCTTAGTCTCCAAATTGTTTTTACAAAGGGGCAGAAAATGAAGGCTAGAAAGGACCCCAGGAATAAACTGAAGTGCAGAAAAGTAAGGTGACCAGCCCGAAATGACCCAACTATTTGGTGGCAACCTTGGTCTTTTACTTCTCATTTCTCACACTGGCTACTTAGTCTCATACTGATGTCCCTTATTATAGGCTCACCCCAAACCTTGATCCCATCAATTAGGCAACATAAACAGAGTTATTTACAGAGTATACATATCACAACATACAGCAGGGTGTCAGATGGAATGCAGAAACATTGAGGGGAAAGATATTTTTCCCCTCCCAAGGGATGAGCCAAGTTATTTGTCCTTAATCCAGGTCTTTTTTTCTGCACACAGGCCGACTGAGGAACTTACAAGTTACTAATCACACTCAGCTCTCTGAGAATGGGACCTGTGAGATCCACCTGATCTGCTCTGTGGAGAATCCAAACGACCATGTCTCATTCAGGTGGCAAGTCATGGGAAACACATCTCTAGAGGAAGCAAACCTCACTATCTCTTGGAACCCCAAGACTTCCAGTGAACAAACCTACACTTGCATAGCTACGAATCCTGTCAGCAACTTATCCTTTTCTCTCTCTGTCCAGAATCTCTGCAAAGGTAACAGTCTGTCTCAGGTCTTTCTAAGAGCCTTGAGTGGCTGTGGAGTGTGGCACAACTACATGACCTCATGATTCCCAAAACAGCAGCCCAGTAGGAATAGCTAAAAGTGCTGGGAGAAGACAGATGCCCTCTGATTCTCAGTACCTCTCACTAACCCCAAAGGTCTCACCTTCCTCTCCCACTACACCCCCAACCCTTCTCCAACACACTCAGAGTCCATGAGCAAAGTCATTGGGAAGGCAGAACTGCTTCCTTCTCTGCTCTACCAGACTCTACTCTGCCCTGTCTCCCACTCCCAGAAATTCTTCCCAGAGCCCCAGAGCTTCTGGGTATAGATGAGCCTAACCTGCCCCTAAATGTGGCCTAGCAGAGGTTAAGTGTAGGCTCTGAGAACACTGGGCCTTAGTGTGTCTTTTTTTTTTAAGAGAGAGGGGAAGGGAGAGAGAAAAAGAGGGAGAAAAACAGTGCAAAACATTGATCAGTTGCCTCTTGAATGCCCCTAACCAAGAACTTGGTCCACAACCCAGGAATTGAACCAGCCACATTTCACTTTGCAATACGATGCCCAACCCCCTTAATGTGTCTTAAGTGCAACTTCCTTTTTTTTCTTTTCAGGTGTTTTTAAGGAGAAAAATCAACACCCGAATATCATATGGATTATAATATTGCTTTCTTTCATCTGTATCACTGTGTTATTATTTGTTTGGAGGAAAAGAGTAGCAGGTTTTCTTTCTTCCTACTTGTTTCTTTTCCAAGGTTTCAGACACTTAGAGTTTGGCGTTCCCTTTACCTGTCTGTTTTGGAAGACAGGTAAAGAGGGGGAGGATGTAAATACTGGTTCAGCTAGTACACTGGGACAACACCTGGGGTATGACCACACACCTGCTTATATCCTGAGAAAGGTGTCCTACTGGGAAATGTAGGACCCAGCCTCAGGGCCTGCCTACCCTTCCCTTTCTGGTCCCCTTCCATCACATCTTCTAGAGAGACATCTATGGTGGTGGAGGGATGGAAGATCTCTCTCATTAATCACAAGTTTCAATTAACCTTTTTTACCTAATTTTATTTTCCAGGTTACTTACGGTTTCCTACTCATCAAAACCAGAGTCCTGGTGAGCTTCCAGACTCTTAAATCCCAATCATATAACAGATGGGGATAACTGAATGAAAGAAAAAAGGGGCCGGTCAAAGGCCTGGGTAATGTCAGAATGTCATTACTCAAATGGACCAGATGGCACAAGGGGAGAACCTGTAACTGTGCCAGTTTGTTCCCTGTGGGACCTACAGGGTCCCTTGCATGCATGTGAACCAGTCACTGACATGATTTCTTAGCGTGGTATTAGGGTCATTCCCCACTCTGCTGACAGAAAAACTAAATGTCAATGAAAGTGGTCTAATCTGGCCATTATCACCTGACAAATCCAGGACAAGGAAAGGATTCGAGCATCAAAGGGCCAGAGACAAACTGCCTGACCCCCTTGCTTTATTCATACAGGGTTTGGGTATTGAATAAAAAAGAAATCAAAAGAGAAAATGTAATAGACTAGAATGTAGACTCTGGACTCAGATTAGCACTGACTCTCATTTCATGAATGAGAGATATATGATGTCAACAGTAGAGGAAAGGGCATGAGGTTTGGAGTCAGAAGGCATGCATTTGAGTTCCTTATTCCATTCCTTCCTCTGTAATTTTGTACCAAGTTAATTGAATTTCCTGAGCTTTCAATTCTTCATCTCTAATGTAATCAAACCCACCTTAAGGACCTCTGAAAAGTTTAATAACATACACATGAAGTAATCCAGCTTCATTATGCTGTCCAGTGAGGTTCTTTAGCTCATATGTATGTGGTACCATTTGGTCCTAGGAGCTTTCTTGCTTACATGTGAATTCAGTGGGAGACTCTAAAACTTTAGACTACTGTAAGACCATACACTCACCCCCAAGAGATGAGTCAGAAATAGATCACATGGCTGAGAAATTTCTGGTTCCACCCAGAATTCCAAAGATTGTCAAAAATGAGACAACCTTAAGGAGGAGCAATGGCTCAAACAACTGCACCATTAGGGCCAGAAAGTCTCCTAGGGTAAGGAAGGTCCTGGGAGAGCAGATCCATAGTGCTTCTGCCCTGACTCTGCTTCTCTGTTCACAGTAGAGACCCTGAGGAACTCAGAGTATGATCCAGTCTCTCCAGGGAACACTGTGTATGTTCAGGTCATTCATCCAAACATGGTGAGTCCACTCAGCTTTATATGCCATAATTATCATTATTTTTAATCATTATTCACACACTTGTCACCACAATCATCTGATTAATCCAAATTATGTACACCATTGAGGAGAGGAGAAGGCAGCTATAGTCGTTGCAAAGTTCTATGTGGGACCTTTCCAGCCCCCACCCCTCTTGCCCCAGTGCAATGTTCACTCATGTCCTCATTTTCACTGTTCTCCAACTGTTTAATGCTTCAGTAAGTGGTCCCTTCAGTTTAATCACGAGCCACCCAAAGGTGAAAGTTAGGTCTTCCTCTTTCATGCCCTATGTCTTAGCATGATGCTCAGTAAATACTTGCTGAGTGGATCTGAGTTCAATTAAGTTTGAGTTTGCAAAGGAGGCAATTCTGTGGTAAGGGCTTCTCACCCTTATGTGAAAAAAACAAAAACAGGTGTGCTCAGAAGCAGTCTCTCAAGAGGAGGAGAGGAGCAAGAATTGCATCTCCTCCATAGTGGAGGACACTATAGGCATGCCCAGCCCTAAGTCCTCCCCACCTCTCTAGCAACAGAGCCAGATGGCCTTTGTTAGACATCAACAATTCCCTACCACTGGCAAGAAAAATATTTCTAAAGAACACTACACATCTTGAGAGACCAGTTTCCATGTCAGCTGAAAACAGCCCACAGAACTCATCATTCTCCAACTAATGGAAGCAATGGTCTAGCTAGAACTCTTGGATCGCCTCATACAGCCCCTCACAGGTATTTGCAAAGCAGGCTCCTTGAAGAAGGAAATATACAGAGGGATACTCTTACTTGTTCAGATATTTCTATGTCTTTCCAACTTCCCCTTGGAGACAAGGTGAATCTCACTCAACAAATGAAGAAACAAATCCCCTGCAAATTTAACTTTTCCTTTAGTATAAAATTATATTTTGGAGAGTTTCAGAGGTCTTGACAATAGCCTAATATTCATTAATTAATTTTAAATGTCAAAACCTCTGAGCATAAGGGACTTCTGCTGCTATTGTTATACTTTGTTCCCCAAGCAGAACCACTTTCAGTGTCAAATGTTTCTGCCATTCTACCAGTTTCCCCTACTTGAGAAGAACCCAATGACCTGATGACCAGGCAGTTAGAATCAGAGGGACAAAATGGAGCAGGTTGTACCTCCAGTTATAGCCAGTAAAGATATGAGGCAAAAGACAGTAGAGTTGGGTTCAGGACAAAAATGTTTTATTGCTTCACATTTATCAAGAAAGTCACCCTTCTGCCTCTCTCTGGTTCTTGAGCCCACTGGTTTGCTGGGGTGTGTGTCTGTTTGAGCTTCAGAAAATGCTACTAAATTTCCACATGTTTGAGAGTTGGTAGCGTTTGGTCTCCAGCTGCTTCTGCTAAAGGCTCCCGAGCATTCCTCCTGAAGAATGTTGTCATACTACCTTTCCCTGGGACTATATCTATGCATGAGTATCTCTTTGTCTGTGTAAGCCAAATCAGTATGATTCTTTATTACAGAAAAAGGAAACCTCAATACCTATGAAAAACAATGATTCCTCCACAATTTACTCCTCAGTTTCTCATTCCAAACAGGTAAGCCCATGAACGCCCCATGTTCTTACATTCTTACCTCTCTCATCAGACCTATGACTTTGCAAATAAAATAAAAATTACAGAGCCATTTTTCATATGCACAAATGCCAGCAGGATACAGAAAGTCTCAGGACATCACCAAAACATATCCAAAAAGTTACCTTGTATTAAGATCATCACGCATATCTGAGGTTTCAGCCTATTTGTATTTTAATGTAATTCTGTGTTACACTATCAATATCCCTACCACTTTCTAGTCCTTTCCAGACCTCCTCAGTAGCCATATGGGTGGCCTAAGACTCTGGTTCTATTAACCTATTCACTTTCCTCTTTTTCCCATTAAAGTAAACCCATTTCTTCCAGGGCAACTCTCATCATCTAGGTTGCTGAAGGTCTCAAAGGATTTCAGGAGTGACACATCTTCTCCTGACCCCATGGGAGAGAAGAGAGCTTGGTTTCTACCTGGAAACAGAATTTGAATATCCAGGATTATCACTTCCAGTCCTCCAGACTTGAACCTGCTTACCTAGGTCAAAGTTTAAGGAATGACATCATTTGCAGCTTGTTATCCAAATAACATTTTCTAATCTGCTCCAGAACAAAACATGCTTCAGATAACACACCTGGTAATTAAGCAAATGGATTTATGGTTGACAGAGAGACTGTAATTCAGAAGATAACCATTTCTCTCCTTTTCAAAAGCAGCAGAATTGTGACTCATTGGGAGAGAGTACAATATATTGGTTATGTGTGTTGTCTCTGGAGTTGGATGGACCCATATGCAAATCATTTACTAGACATGTCTCCTGGGACATGCTACCTAAGATCTTGGGGCTTTGGTCTCCCAGACTGAAAAAGAAGGATCATAATACATCAGCTGTTACTCAAACTAGGAACATGAGTTATGTTCTACTTTAACTTCTCCGTCACCTGGCCCTTTGGAGTCTACCTCCAAATATACATCTTAAACCCATCCACTTTGCAAATCTTCAGCCACCATCCTATATCTAACCATCAGTGTCTCTACTCTGGAATGCTACAATAAACTCTGAACAACTCTCCCCAACTTTTGCTCTTACTTCCCTTTACTCCTTCTCCACAAGACAGCCAAAATAATGTTTTTAATATGAATCATATCTTTTAGTTGTCTCCTTAAAGTTCTGCAAGATTTTCCCATGCGCTAGAATGGAACTGCATCTCCATGACCCTGGCTGGTCTGGCCCATCTTCAGCCTCAGCTTTCATCACTCTCTCACCACTCTCTATTTATCCTCCCTGACCTTCCTGCAGTTCCCCTACTAGAGGAAAGACTTATTTATGTTAGAGTTACTCATATCCACCTTAAGGCTTTTCCTCTGCCTGCTTGCCTGCCTCCTCCTTATTCTTTAGGTCTTAGCTCACATATGTCATCCTCTAAAAGAAACCTTCTCAGCCCTGGCCGGTGTAACTCAGTTGGTTGGAGCATCACCCCATAATTGAAGGGTTGCATGTTCTATTCCGGGTCAGGGCACATGCCTGGTTTTCATGTTCATTCTCCTGCCCAGGCGGATGCAGAGGGGAGGCAGCCAATCCATGCTTCTCTTTCACATCGATATTTCTCTCTCTCTTCCTCTCTAAAAGGCAATGAAAAAATGTCCTCAGATGAGGATGAAAAAATAAATAAATAAGTAAGACCTTCTTAGGCCACTCTTATCTGAAGTATCCTCCCCGTTATACTGTCACATCTTCCATGTCATTCATCACATGTCAATAAATATTTATTTTTATTTGTTTAATATGTATTTCTCCTACTATACCATAAACCCCCCCCAGGAATGGAGAGCATAATGATTTTATTTATCACTGTTTTCCTAGCACCTAACACAATATCTATCACATAGCAAATGTTCAATAAATATTTTTAATAACTAAATGAATATGTAATAAAATCTTGTGAGAATTAAATAAGACAATGTACCTTAAGCCTTTAGCATAATGCTTAGCCCATAAAAGAGCTCAATAAATGTCAGCTTTTGTTGTTATTATTGTTGTTATTATTACTAAATTACATTCTTCTGAACTGACAAAATTTTCTCACAAACCTTCAAAAAATAAGAAAGGAGAACAGATATGTTGCCTTAGCCCTGTTTTTCTATCATTTCCTACCTTTTCTCAAATTCCATTATTTTACCCCATATGGAAAATAAAGCTCCTCTTTTCCTGGGAAGAGTTATCTGATTTTTTTTTGGTGGGTTCAAGATATTTTTTAATGTTTAAAAAAACACTTTATTGAGAAACTATTTACATACAAAAAACACATATTTAATGCATAAAACTTGATGAGTTTGTACATAAGTATATATTCATGAAACCATGACTATAAACAATACTGTAAACATATCGATCACCTCCAAAAGTTTTCTCCGTCCTTTTTTATTTAATTTGTAATATTTTGTGTGTGATAGGAATACTTATCATAAGATCTACCCTCTTGTGAAATTTTTAAGTATACAATACAGTATTGTTGGCTATAGGCACTATGCTGTACAATAGATCTCTGAGACTTATTCCTGTTGCATAACTGAAATTTTATAGCCTTTGACCAACATCTTTTTTATTCCCCCTCCACTTATCATTTCATGACTGCCATTCACTCTCAGCTTCTATAAGTTTAACTATTTTAAATTTCTTACATAATTAGGATCATATAGCATTTGTGCGTGTGTGTGTGTGTGTGTGTGTGTGTGTGTGCATGCCCTTGCATGTGGCTTATTTCAATGTGTGGCTTAGTACAATGTCCTCAGAGTTCATCCTGAACTTTATTTCTTTTGTCTACATATATTCAAAGGTGGAGTTGCTGGATCATATGAAAATTCTTTTGATTTTCATTTTTAATTTTTTAATTTTTTGAAGAAACTTCATATTGTTTAATTTTTTGAAGAAACTTCATATTGTTTTCTACAGCAGCTGTACCAATTTAAATGTGCACCAACAGTGCACAGAAACTCCCTTTTTTTCCAAGTCTTCATCAACACTTGTTATTTTCTTAAAGATTTTATGTATTTATTTTGAGAGAGAAGGGAAGATAGGGAGAAAGAGGAGAGAAACATCAATTGGTTGCCTCTTCTACACATCCCAGTCAGGGACAAACCCATAACCCAGGCATGTGCCTTGATCAGGAATCAAACCTGCGACCTTTCATTTTGCGGGACAGTGCCCAACAAACTGAACCACACCAGTCAGGGCTTTTAAAAAAAATTTTAAATACTCACTCAAGGATATGTTTATTGATTTTAGAGAGAGGGAAGGGACAGAGAGAGAAGCATCAATATGAGAGAGAACATCGATCAGTTGCCTCCCACACATGCCCCAACTGGGGATGCAACCTAAAACCTAGGTTGGTGCCCTGACTGGGGATCAAAGCCCCAACTTTTTGATGTACTGGATGATGCTTCAACCAACAGGGCAACACTTGTTATCTTTTTATTTTTATTTTGTAATAACCATCCTAACAAATGTAAGGTGATATCTCATTATGGTTTTGATTTGCATACCCTAATGATTAGTGATGTTGAGCACATTTTTATATTTTTGTTGGCAATATACATGCTTTCTTTGAATAAATGTCTATTCAGATCCTGTACACATATTAAAATTGGGTTACTTGGTTTTTTTAATATTGAGTTTTGGGAATTTCTTATATATTTTGGATATTAATCCTTTATTTGATATATGGTTTGCAAATGTTTCCTCCCATTCCATAGGTTGCCTTTTCATTTTATTATTTCCTATGCTATGCAGAAGGTTTTTAGTTTGATATAATCCCATTTGTCCTTTTTCTGCTTTTGTTGCCTTTGCTTTTGGTGTCAAATTCAATAAATCATGGCTAACACTAATGTCAAGAAGTTGTTCTCCTATGTTTTCTTCTAGAAGTTTTATATTTTCAAGGTTTATGTTTGTCTTTAATCTATTTTGGGTTGATTTTTCTGTATAGTATAAAACAAGGGCCAATTTCATTCTTCTCCATGTGGATATACAGTTTTCCCAGTACCACATATTGAAGACACTATACTTTTGTATAT